TAGTAGCAGTAGTAGCAGCAGGAGTGGTAGTAGTAGTAGTAGTAGTAGCAGTAGTAGTAGCAGTAGGAGCAGCAGTAGTAAGTATCACAGCAACACAACTGGGTAAAACCAAAAAACAAGACACTACCAACACGTAACCCAGACAAACTAGCGAGGCAGAGCCCCCACAACATGCTAAACTCGCGAGATAACAGTGTCCAGCTCCAAAACATGGAAACTGGAAGGAAGGCTGCAATATGCAGAAAAACAGTATCCACCAAAAACGTGAACTGTCGCCACATCGGTCAAAATCAGGCCAAAACCGGAGAAATAACAGCGTTAAGTCGTTAAGCATGTCTTCAATTCGTAACACAGACAAGGCACAAAAAGGCGACCCCCTGGCACGAGTAAAAACAATACAAACTCGAAAAATAACATACCATACTCTGATGAAGAAAACGCGTGCGTCGCCAACCAACCCTGCGCCTACTAGTAGTAGTAGTAGTAGTAGTAGTAGCAGTAGTAGTAGTAGTAGCAGTAGTAGTAGTAGTAGTAGTATCAGTATCAGTAGTAGTCGTAGCAGCAGCAGCAGCAGTAGTAGCAGTAGCAGCAGCAGCAGCAGCAGCAGCAGGAGTAGTAGTAGTAGTAGAAGTAGTATCGTAGTACTAGAAGTAGAATTGGCCCCATGAGCGTCGTGTTGAAATCGTTGTGATCGTCATGATAAGCAGCATCCACACAACATCACAGCGGCAGCAGAAGCCATGCCATGCTCGTCATAATCGTCGTGCTGACATTTCGTCCCAGCACCGCTACCCCAACATTCATCGTGCCCGCTGCCATGAACTAGCAGGACTGTTTCTATTGTTCTCGTGGTTCTGCTTTCTTCTAGAATTCACGATTTCGCAGTTGTTTATCCTCACTGTCGACAGCAGCAATAGGATCGCCTTGATATCGGTACGGAAGATCATACAGTACTGCCGCCTCCCGAGTCATGGGGTGAGCAAATTCGGTCGAGCGCTAGACTTCCGCTCGCAGGTCTTTTGTGGAGCTGGACCCCGATGACGGCCTACATGCTAGATTCCAGGCTGTTCCCGAGCATCTTTTCCACCTTTTAACCATGTGCTGAAAGAAGGGAAAATAGACTGACCGTAAAAGCCAGAAGCCCTCAAGACAGTAAACCCGAAACCTTAAACAAGCCCTCCATCTGAGAAGGGCCTTCAGCCAAGGATTTGCAAACGTCCAAGCCAACTCCGAGCAAGAGCGTGCTGAGTCGGCCATCATCAGCCTCGTTGCCTTGGTTCGTGGGGACTTCGAGTCGCAGCTTGCATAGGTTGAGTCAGATGTGCAGGTGAATCGGCTTTTCGGAAGCTCGTAGGATTCATAATTAAACGGTGACTTGACTTGAACACAGCTGTGAACTGTTCGTGGGACCCTGAATCGGCAGCTGTCCGTGCATTGCGATGCGCACAGAACGGGTTGCGCCGGGTTCGGGCTTGGACACTGTTTGCGGGGTTCTGAAATCGCCTGGCCAACGAAACTGCGAAAGCCATATGGCGCGCAACTCTGAACAGACATGGATTTGGCAGACCTGTCTTGACTGTAGGCCCGAAAAAGGTCTTGTGGGAAACTGAACACTGACAAGTAACGGGGCTTTTGGGCTCCATGCTCCATACGTCCAGATTTTTCTGCAGTGAACATTGAGACAGAGCTTATGAGTGGATGGCTTGATGCTGCCACGGAGGAGTCTTGAAGCAACCTGCCTGGGGCAAGGCATGCGCGGCCTACCATCGCTGTTGCTATCGCATGATCAGGTGTTTCGACTGCTGACGAATTATGGGTACTCTCCACATGTTGGAGTCAAGTGGTCAGGTTGACTTGAAAACGCCCGGAGCACGCGTTCCGCAGTGCAGTCGGGGTACAGATCTTCGCGGCACCGGAGTAGCAACTCAACACGCCCACTCCAGAAACCTCTCCTGCGACCTGTACTGTTTGTCCACTTCGGCGCGAGACCTGAAATATTAAGATCGGAATCCATACGGCGATGAAACTTCTTGTTCCGGCATTTGATCAGAGCTGAAGGGAGATTGACGTTGAGTCGTGAGCCCGATGGTGTCCTGGATTCATTTTTTGAGTTTTGATCGGGCCTGACGGCAGATTCCTTTCGAGTTAGCGGTCCAGCAGAAATTGAGACGGACAATGTCGGTTCCTGTGAGTGAGACTCCGAATTCGTCTACGTTTCGGGCTCCGACTTGGCCTGCTTGCTCTCCGAGTGCTATAGTGCATCGGCATCCACGCCTGTTTGTCGCGTGCCTACTGTTCCCCAAGCTGCAGAGTAAAAGCAGCTAGTGGCAGATCTTCGCACCACTGAACGGGACACCACTTCCACCGCAACGTCTGCCCTGCAATCGCACCAACAGGTGGAAATAGCCTCACTTCTCAGCAAGTAAGTAACCGACTTTGGATGCTTAAGCTGCTTAGGGTTCCTTCTTCGATCGCCGGTATACGTGGTCGCCACCGAATTAGACTGACGCCCAACGCAATGCCACCATGCCTGTGAAAGTAATGAAACGACATGTACTTGAGAGAGACTGGAGCTCAGGTATATAGCACCTCAAGATCCTCAGAACCGGTTGGAGGAGTCGCAATGGCAGCACCTTCAGGGCCTGCTAACATGGGCAAATCCAGATGCAGAACAGCTTTTGGGTGTGATATTCCTCCTTGCAGTTCGAGGAATCGGCAAGTATAAAGCTCTTACTCGGCAGCTGCCAACGAACTATCAGCGACCCGAGCATGCAGTGCGATACATCTTGAACCACTATCCCAACTGCATGCCGTCCATTGACAGTATGTCCATGCAGATGCTGCAGATGGCCAACAATGTCCTTGAGATACAGGAGTTCTTCAACTTTGCTCAGATGATCCAAGGAGAGAACGTGCCTGAAAATCTGGATCGGCTCCAACGATTCATGCAAGCACGACAGGGTGAGGGCTTGCTGAAATTTTACATACTGTTTCAGCTGGGTTTCATGAGTGGCTTGGCTGGCGGCCATGGATCCAAGTTCATGACGGTCCATAATGCAAAGTCGACGATTTTGGGACTCTCTATACTGAGGCGAGCTCATGAGGCACCTGCCACGCCTCTCTACTGGACATACATACATCACAGGGGGGTGCAGCTTGGAATTACACCCTCCAAGCCAGCAGACCTCGCCCTAATCCGACTTGCATGCCTCCTCCGTGCACGGACTCCGAAAGACATCGAAGATCTCGACACTGCGTGGAGTGGCCTTGGAAGCAATGATCGCTTGGCACTCACTAAGCATTTCCTCGCCGATGGACTCACGCAAAAGGCCCTTGTCTTCGAGTTCCTCCCACTTTGTTTGGAGCACGCCAAAGCAAACCCTTTTGTCACCATCAGGACGTTCCTGGAGGTTTTGGTAGACCTCATCCAGGCAGCCAAGGGAGCAGCGCCCAAGAAGTTCATGACCTTCGCAGTCGACCTGAATGATTTCTCCGCCTTTGTACTCACGGCTCGGAGCTCAGTGAATGCTCGACCTTTCAGTTTCTCAGACGTTGTGACACACAGCCGTCTTAGGTGCAGAACAGCTACATCTTCCAAACGTGCCTAACAAGAGCCAAGCTGCGTGTCGCAGTTGGCAATCGCTTTTCTTTGGAGGTGACACAGGACAATTGGCGACGTGTCACTGAATCACAATCCGACATGATCAATTTGGCGTCGGCAATTCGAGAGCTAACCAGGAGGCAGGGTGCCAAAACATCGGGCCAGGCCGCGCCAGCACAAACTTTTGTCCATTGCCATTTCTGATACCACCCGTCCAGTAGCTCAAGGTTCTGACGGGTGTCGGTTTCACCACGCATCAGCTGGCTTTGTAGTGGGCCTAGCTGGTCCCATGTAGTGCATCAGAGAGGGGTCTCGAACCTGATGGCCCTGACAGTCTCAACGATTCTACATTTCTACCGACAGCCAGGCCACGCATGAGAGAACACTTTTCTGTGTGGTCGACTGCGCATGGCCCAATCGGAAAAAAAGGCTGCGTGCTGCTTACACCTGCACAGTCTACATCACAGCTGGCGTCTGGATGACTACAAGCCTCACGGCATGCAGAGTTTGCGTTCGTGTCACGGCTTTAGCTACTCCGGAGCTGATCATGTTTCGCAGGATGCCTCGACGCTGCTTGGGCCCAGGATGTACTCTTACATGCGGTTAGCCATGTAGTCGCGACGAAGCCTCCCCAATATCTCGGGGCCGACAAACCGATCCGCAAGGAGAGGGTTTCATGCCGTACGAGCTTGACATTGCGCTGCCGAGAGACAGCCTTGGGCCTACATCTTTGACAACAGGCACCAGGCTCCGACAAGTGATTGCTCTTATATTGTTCTTGCATGACTGGCGGTGACGTCGGCGGTGCGGGCCAATGTCTGCCTTGTGGACGAGGGTTGTGCCGAGATGCAGAATGCGAATAGCTCTCCCAAGCTTCAGGAAACTAGTATCCTGCAGTCGTGCAGCAGAGCAATAAGCTGCCATGGGCGACGGCAGCTGTGGAGGACGGCTTTGGAGGCATTCTGGCAGTTGCAGACAATGCAGCTCCGGATAGATACAGTTGCACATGGAGCCATTGTAAACGCATGCGGACGGAGCGCAGCATGGCATCATGGGTGGCAATTGCTGTCAGAGGTTCGATTTCACGGCCTGCAAGAGAACATAATCGTGTTCAACGGTGCAATAACTGCGGCAGGGAAGACATGGCGCCAGTCACTGCGTCTGCTAACAGGTATAGGCTGCAAGAAGGTGCGGGTTGATATAGTGACCATCAGCACCACGGTCAGTTCCTGCGGAGGAAGTCATCACTGGCTGCAAGGGCTGATTCTATTCCAAGCTCTTCGGAAGCTGTCCGTTCAGGGAGACATCGTTGCTGGCAACGCTGTTCTGAACACTCTGGATCAGTCCATGCGGTGGCAACAATGTGCGCATTCTTTCGCGCAGCTCAGGGCTACTGCCTTGCAGCCTAGTTCCATCTCCCTGAACTCATTGATCAGTGCATCCAGCACTGAAGGCCGTTGGCAATTCGCTTCTTACTGCTTCACACAGGCACCCTCTCTTGCACTGCAGCAGGATGCCTTCAGCCAAAGCTCGCTTGTGAGAGCTTGTGAGCTTGCTGAAGAGTGGCAAGTTGCACTTTGGTGCGTGGGCTGTTCTTCAAGCTGGAGCCTGGTACTCTGCAATGCTGCTGTCAGCACCTGTGAGAAATCCAGCCGATGGGAGGTTGCAGCACGACTGCTCAAACAGTTCAGGCACGCGAGACAAAGGCCAGATTCTGTGACACACAACGCAGAGCTCTGCTCCTACGGTCGGGGCTCCAAGTGGCAGAAGGCTTTTTCGGCTCTTTGCGGGCTGAAATCCATGACCGTGCAGGCAAACGCCATTGGCCACAACACTGCTCTCTTTGCGTCCGTCGAAGCCAAGCAGTGGAGATCTGCAATTCGGATCCTCGAAGCCTTAAAGAGGCCAGCTGCCAAAATAATCACAATACTGCACGGAAGATTCCCCGAACATCATCAGTGGGTTGGGGTTGACATAGACAAGGTTGTCCATTAGCGGTTAAAATCTGGCGGCATTGGTGTGGTGACTCTGAGGCCAGAAGAGGCATTGCCACAGCCAGCTCGAGAGTCAAGCCGGATCAGCAAGCTGTATCAATCCAAGCAGCGAAAAAATTGTGCCGTAAATCTGAAGTTTTCGTTGGACTCCAAACCTGAACTCCGCCGCCACCACCGGTACTCCTACCATATATTTCATGTCCGAGAGTGAGCGCCGAAAGCATAAGTTCTTACTCGAGCTCACCAATCCAGACCGGAGTGCTGTTTGACACCTTATTTGATCTTCAAGTGGTTCATCCCAGTTGTTCTTGGCAGTCAGCCGCCCGAATGCCCTGCATTGCATTTACGCATATGCACACACACACACTCTCCACCAGGCAGTGTTACAGTGTTACAAGCCTGCTCCAGGTCATGTTTGCAAGCCGACGAAATCTCGCTGAACACAGGCCTAAGTGCCATGGAAGGTGGACAGAACTGGAAACAGGCTCTGGATCTGTTTGCCTGCGACTTCGCTGCCCGCCTACGGCGTGATATCATTACCTTCAACTCTGTCATCAACGTGTGTGCTGCTCGGGGAGCATGGTCCAAGGCTGCACAACTCCTGACAGACGCTGTGCAGACTGAACTGGAGATCAACTTGATCACATACAATGGAGCCATCCGATCGTACAGTCAGGCATCTCGCTGGCGGTCCAGCCTGCAGTGCTTGGAGAACTTGAGGCCCATAAACCCCGACATGGTGAGCCTCGAAGCAGTGATCAACTCCTGCGAAGCCTGCAGGGAGCTTGAGATGCAAGGAGCCTTGCTACACCGTCTCGAGGACACAGGCATCCTCCGAGAATCGCAGAGGAAAAAGTTCCCGAGTTTTGAAGCCAGTCCTGATCTGATTTTCTATAAGAAGTCCTAGATGTGTTATCATCCAGCAGACGGTGGAACGATAAGAAGCTTGAGGTGTTTCAGCTTTCGCAGCAGACGTCACTTGGTGGCACAGCTGGAGCATCTTTGATTCAGATTCCAAGGCTCAGAAGGTTTAGTTTGAGCCAAGAGGCCATCAGAACTGCACAGAAAGAGAGGGAGCGGCTGATGCTTGTCGGGAACTGGGTTTTTGGCCAGACGGTGGCATCCTAGGCGTGGCTACGTTCGTCCAGCCCTTGGATTCCCAGCAAAGTCAAAGCCATCGTGTACCGACTTCGGTCCTTCAAAAAAACTGGACATCCTGATGAGTCACTGATGAGGCTTCAGATTTCACAAGGGTGCTTCTCGCTGCGTGGACGCCAGAGCTGGTTCCTGGTCCGAGTCGGAGAGGGCGCTCAACTCCGACAAGGCCGCCTTAGGCCGGGCTGATGCCTTGAGAATCGGACGAGGTTTGGCGTATATCCGTGTACGAGGTACAGAGCGCAGGGCTATAGTTGCTCAGATGTTGGGAATCTTGTGGAAATTTGATCCCTGCCGATGTTTTCGCATCCGAGGTGCCCACCTCCCATGATCCACTGCGTACAACAGAGCATATAATATATAAAGAAATATATATACATATGTATGTATGCATGTGTGTATGTATGTATGTATGTATGTATGTATGTATGTATGTATGTATGTATGTATACTGATCGACATATCCAAACTCAAAGGTTAATCTTCTGTAAAAACTGCTTAGACAACTTCCTACTTGACTTCCAGATGCCGCGAGGTTACTCCACCCAATCGGCATACCCCAACTCGCTGATCCTGGAGATTGCTGGCGGCGTCGATGCGGTGAACATCGCGGGCCTGGCAGCGTCTGGTCCGCATGGAGCACGAGCCTCTTTGCTTGCCTGCTGGCAGTCGTTAGTTGCTCTTTCAGGAGAGATGATATCCCAGGGAGTTGTCGCGGTGGTGTCGGGGTAGTAGCACCGGGCTGTTATTTTGAACCTTCGTCGCAGCAGGGGAAGTTCGCACACTGTACTCGGAGTAGGAAGGGTCGTCGTGGTACTGGTCGTGGTCGTGGTGGTGGTGGCAGTAGTGCTGGTCTTGGTCGTGGTCGTGGTCGTGGCGGTGCTGGTGTGGTGCTGGTGCTGCGAGTGGTTGTTGTAGTACTGTAACCTGGTGGTCGTGGTGGTCCAGGCATTAGGCGGACGGAGGGGGGGGGCAGCAGCAGTGGAAGAGGAGCTGCAGGCCAATAGGGAATATATGGGGATATGGTTGAAGTATTTGTTGACTACTACAAATCTAATGATTCACATATGTTCACTTCATATTAAGAGAGGCCCC